TCAACAGCTTATAGCAAAATTCTGCATTTAGAGCAAGTTCTCAGGTATTAAATTCAATGAAACCTTCTGAATACCAATCTACATGACAGTAATCGAAAGCTATATCCTGACCGGAATTTTTCCATGTAGGCCTGAGCTGCAGTACGTAACCTCCTACGAGTATCGCTGTTTCATCTCGGACGAAACTGATGACTTAAAAATGAAGATTTAAAAATATCAAGACGTTTCATGACGAAATACTGACCAGAATAAAGCCAAATCTCAGCCCTAAAAAATACATCAACCTGAAAGTTGTCAAATTTTTCCTCTGATAGATTTCAAACTATGGATGCGTAAGTGAGACCAAACTGTGGTATATGGAAAATCCACTGAAGTGTTCAAAATGTGGTGCTACAGGCGACTGCAACAGATCTTCCGAGAGCAGCTGAGAAGCAATCCCTTCGAAGGGATTCGAATACTCGATCGCTGCTTTTCCAAAACAATTAAAGATACACATATATTGGTCACTCTTGAAAAGCAATGTACCCTTCTCCAGAAGGCAGCATTACAAACCATGTTCCTGGATCAGTCAAAAACAAGAACAAAGAATGAAAAAAATTTATATTATGCCATCTACGTTCTGAACAAACGATGACAACTGACCAACTGACTGAAAATTCAAACGCCGTTATACCTTATCAATCAATCAACCAAAGACACAGCTAATCAGAAAACGATGAGAAGGAGAACGAATAAATCTCGAACACTCATTTTAATCTGCCGTATCAAAACAAAATAATTAAAACGCACTAACAGCTAAGACTAAGTAGGCACGTGTAGCAAGAATATGGTATCGGCTGCAATTTGTACTCCTCTGTCTTATCTTAATGTGAAGCTAACATAGTAAAATATTACACAGGTATACTTACTCAATCGACCTCGGCGTTTTGCTTGAGTTATCCGTTTAAGTATTACACCTGTTTAATATTTCTATATTTAATATTTTACTTTGGAGCAGTCAAGTACGGCAAAGAAGTACAAATTGCAGCGGTCAACAAATATGCGCTTACAACGTTTATTCTTCCATGATAAAAAACAGAAGTAAATTAAAGGCTGCCTCAACTATTCGTAGTTATGTATAGCGCACTACTTCTGCACGTAGACTCACCACGTATTTCAACCGCCGAAGAGGCATCTCACGTGTGCCTGCGATGCTTTCTTGCCATAGCAAGTGGTAAGACAGACCGGTGACAGACGATCAGTGTCATCACCGATCGGTGATGCAGTTAAGCTTGGCTGTCTTGTCACAAAACAACAGACCCTGTGTACTGGGGTAAATCTGTCGATGAGACGATGTGCATCTCAGGTGAGCTGTCCGAAACAAAAATGGTCAGATTAGTTCAAATTGCTTTGCATAAGGCTGAGAAATGGTTGATGAAAAATGATCAACGGAAGAAAACAACATCAGTCTTCCACAATTAATACGGTATTCATCATAGAAACAAATATGTCTTTGAATTCTTAGCACAAATACGACAATACTGACAATGGCCACCATTAGGAACAGACAGTGTAATACACAACTGCCTAGACCAGTTGGTGGGTAGCCATATTGGCGGGACGCTGAGGAAGTTAATTAGTTGAGTTCTAAGCCGCATAACCAGTAAAGCAACTAACGCATGTGTTACACGGTTGGCGGCGAAGTGAAGCGACTAGGTGATAATATCGTTTCGGTTTATCACGGTAATGAAATGAGGTATTAAACACGAAGAACACTTGGCCTGTAAACCTCCTCTGTGGTGAACACAGTTCTCATGACTAATAATATACGAGTTGAACATATTCAGTCAATGAAATACATTGGGATTTTTTGAAAGATACGAAGAGATTGTAAAATCGATTAGAATAATATCTGGTCTTCGTTCATTAAATAAAACTGCAGTCAGTCGAGCGCAAATACGCTCATTTTGCAGTACTTGAAGAACAATGAATGAAAGGGTACAGAAATTCTCTATGAGCAATGTACCGAATAATCTTTAAAAGAACGACGGACAAAAACTGACTGCTCGCCCAGATCACAAACCCTGTTACCAACAGCTTTTCTAACGATCTCAAACAATCCCAAACAAGTCTGATCATTCTCTGAATGGAAAATTTCTAACAGCTTGCTCCCTATATCACGCTACTACGAGTAGCTTCAACTCAAATTGCGCCATAACTGTGTCATGCCGCTGTTCTACCCGTTTCTTTACACAGTAAGAAAAGAACTCGTCGAGGTGAAAAACTTTACTGCTAACCATATATGGATTAAGTCATAGCTATGTAAATTAATATCCACACTATCTGATGATATATCAGCTCACCATGCCGTTTGTGTAAAATAGCACAAAATCGCAAAACCATATATGTCATCAATCGAGTGACAGAATAATACATTTGTTGTACGTAATACCTACACTAACATTATGACCTTTTATCATATCGATCGCTGGCCCTGCGACGTACATAATTAAACATCTTTTTACTATTTTTCAGTACGGTTACCAATGCACGAATAAAATGCTCTACCAATGTTGCATGCGAATGAATAACTTTCTTTCTAGATATATCTCCTGCTGCTACGAGCAAAATCATATCACACGAGAACTAAAATTACACGTTATTAAACTAAAGTTTATTGTAAACCCACTAACACTGAAAATACCTGAATTTTAAATCACATTATCATTTAAACGAATAACGTTCTGCGGTTACAGCAGATTAACCAGAAACCCACTTAAATTTCTTAAAGGCGCAACAAAGTACATCAAATTAACCATATGCAATAGCAATAATTATCCAGTTAAATTCGTTAAAAGGCTTAATAAGCTGTAGAACAAGCTACTTTAAATCTATTTGGAACATTAACTAATAATAAAACTTATTTAATTCGATCGTATTATAAAAAGTTTAGTGAGAAGTTGCAAAGATTACTTAGCACTAAATATAAAAGATCTAATAAACTTAATGCGCCATTAAATAATTCTGAGAATAATAACTGTCCAGATTTGGTTTACAAATAACAATGTAACTGCGAGAAATATTACACAGGAGAAAGACGGAACACCGTTACAAAGAATAAAGTTCCAATTATCAAACTGAAGAAGACTGATGATCGCGGACGAGCGTGAGTGACATGTGCTAACGAAGCATCCATGAAGAAAACAAAGCCTCGCTCCCAGCAAAGTCAATGAACAGTGCAGCGTGTTGTCAAGTAAGGACACTCCCCACCGCTGGTCTGAGTGTAGCGGCGTCATCACAGACACACACTGGCTACACCTGGCAAAACGTTAACTGTGACAAAAGGTACGAAATCTGCGCGGACTTGTTGAGTTTCGTTACCTCTTTCGCTCAAAAACTATTTAACGTCCAGCACGGACTAACAGTTTGTCTTCTGGCTCTGAAACTCTCGACTGCTGTGGATGACAAACGAAATTCACGAAACTCTACTATGCACATAATTTGAAGAAGGCCCTCGAGATACGAGCCGAAATGTTAGTATCGGTCAGACAGGAATGAACACAGTATGTTTTGCGATACGTACAAGTAAACCGTGTTTTATGCCATTTTTTAGTAGATCACCAGCGCACGGACGAAAGGCTCTAGAATTAAATTTATACTAAACTATTTAAATAATGCATAATACTGTAATAAATTATTACCTAACCTGAATGTGAAATTTATACAACTTCAATCTAGTTTCACTATCTGAAACCACTGGTAATTCATTAATGGGCATAATGCATTAATGGACATAATGCAAGTCATGTTCTCTAAACAAAGTGTGATTTTCGTTGATTCCCTCCGTCGTCGAAAAATCGCGATTAGACTAAGGTGCCCGAGTAGCGAGTAGAAACTCCAAGATTCCTTTCCGATGTCTACCATCACCAGTCGCATGGTTTCCACTGGCAAAAATCCAAGCCGTGATTCAAAGCCAGGTGTTCAATAGAAG